AAAAGGGGGAAAAAAAAGGGGGGGGGGGGGGGGTGCTAATGTTTTTTTAATTTTGTTAGAATAACACGACGAATCCATCTCTATCCATACTATTGTACACAAGGGTCTAGGATGAAATAGCAATGAATCAACGGTGCTCATGTTCTTCATGCCATAGCTGTTAGACCACCCTATTCGAGAGGACGGAGAGCTGTTCCCACAGAAACTGATCGCCGATGGCCAATCGTTCCTTCCTGCGGGCTTGCTGCGTATGCTGCTGTGCCAAGGAATACAATCACGGCCCAAAAGATTGTGTGCCTCGAAGGCATGGGCTCAACAAACGCTTCCGACTAGCCGTGAACCAAGCAGGTACTCTTCTTCTGCTTACCTTGGCTAAAGCCTTCATCTGCGCCACAGTGCTCGGCCCTTCGTCCGCGAAGCACGACGACACCTGGGAAGCGCGTGGAGATGTGCGAATGGTTCACGATTCAGACAACAAAGTCGCTGCGGGTACCGCGGTGTAGAGGGGGGTCTTCTCCCTCTCCATGCGGGGGGGTGGGGGGGTGGCGGGGCAAAATACTCCGGGAAAACGAGAGTGGTGACACCGGGAGAGGAACGAACAACATGTCGGGAAGTCGCGCCCGGTTCGAGGCATCTCGGAGTCTCAGTCCCGAGAAATTATTCTTGTACATTAGAAAGACTCTTTCAGGATTCTACGGGAGTAAGGGCGCTGCATTGCGGGTGAAACCGCGCCATCTGTCGCTCGCGTGATCGCTCGCTTGACACGACACCGACCGTCTTCTTCTCCCGATAGAAGTCAACGACAGCGACACCGTAGACAATTACCATGAAAACATGGCCATGTACGGATATTGTTCCGGAGATTAAAAGCTTTCACACCCGACAAAGTGCTTTGAGATAGCGGGTCACGGGCTTCTACCTGTGACGTCGGGCAGGGACGGAGAAAGGGGTACGCGCAAGGTGAGCGATAGGCCTATCGTGGAAGAGGGGTACCGCTAAATAGGGGTTGCGGTGGTTGTCATCAGAAAATTGCACGTCTAGAACCGCAGGAAGTCATGGGCGCAGACACGAAACACTTCTCGGTCACAGGGGTTTTACCGGAGAGCAAGCGTGGCGTGGACGAAACGAAAGTTCAACGAGACAGGCAGCTCACCGTAATCTGGATATTCACCTAAAGCGTAATCGAACTGCAAAAAGTGCTCTCCTTTCGCCGCGACTATTTCGTCCGCCACTACATAAGCTCTGACTGATGCCTTATATACCCATTTCTGCAACTGTTGATTGCAACACCACGCACGTACTCGTCAACCCACAACCATTTGGTACGTGCTGGTGGAGACTTATATTCTGCGTACCCCCCCCGGGATCGGACCTCTCAAGTTGAGAGAGAAAACAACGTAACAATGCGACAAGAACAGTTTAGACCGACCGTAGAAAATAGGAAGTAACACAACCAAACCTCTTCTTCTCTCTCTCTCTCTCTCTCTCTCTCTCTCTCTCTCTCTCACGTTTCTAAAGGGACCACCCCTCTGCAGCGGATCGTCCATCGCCGCCGCGATGTCGCGCACCGAAAAGCCCTGCGCGAGGCTGCTGCTTCCTCCGCCCGCCCCCCACCTCGTTCGCCTCAAGAGATGCGACAGGTGGTAGTCCCCGCCCTCTCTCCCCTTCAAGACTGCCGTGTGAGTCACCCGGGTCGATTCATGAAAGGGAGCGATGGCGGCCGAGACAAGCGAAGGTCGAAACCGTGGGTGGGAAGTGGTAATTTGTTTCGATGTTATTAATATTTGTTATTTCTAACAGGGGAAACGGGGGAATGGAATGTAACTGCCGAATGTTTGCAACGGGAGCGACCCGATCCGCGGTAAAAGGAGATATGTATGATGTGTATGCGTCACTAGGAACCCACAGAGTTGCTCATGTTGGATCCTCGGCCGTACATAGAGGTATGTATCCTTCGACATCTATGCTACGAACACGTGAAATGATTGTTCAACAGGGAAGACTACTGGAGGTATGTATGACTGCAACTAGAGCGAGCAGCGTTACAACACTTTCGGTAGGTCATGCACGCAATGAATCCATTGCCGACTCAAAGCAATTTTGTGTCATGCACGAAATGAGTTGTCAACATCAGTACCATCTTGTGAGGAGAAAAACAAAGAGCGTAATCTCACTCACCAGCCTTCCTCACAGCCGTCCGTGCTCTCTGTCCCACCTTGTCTCCTTTCAGCACGCACGACACAGCCGCAACCCACCACCCCAGCAGCCTGAGGGGGGCGCACACTCCGCAACAAAGCGTGGTGCATAAGAGGACGTACAGCATCCTCGGGGCCCGCCGAGGATCTTCGAACAGGCGCTTCACGCTGTGTGCGGTGGTGGGGCAGCACGGGAGCAAAACAAGAGAAAGCGGGATAGTTGGAGAGTGAGAGAGAGACCGATTGAAGGAGAGGCATGGGTCAGAGAAACCATCGGTGGGGGGGAGTGAACGTGAGAGCTAGAGAGAAGCACGAGCGTCAAGCTAAGGAAACAACACCGCCTTCACACTGTCACACCGATTGAGCCCTGCTCGCGACACAAGACAGCAGTATTCGTGTGCCGTGTGGAAGCATCAGACAGCAGCGGGAGTACCTCAGGCCAAACGTGATGCTGTGGGCGAGCGAGGATACTCGCTCGCCCTGCCTAGCACCAATGGAAGGAACACTTGACAGCGATTGACATGTGATTCGTGATTCTCGCCCTGCCTGGCACCAATGGAAAACTTGGCACGGAAACTTGACATGTGATTCGTGATTCTCGCCCTGCCTGGCACCAATGGAAAACTTGGCACGGAAACTTGACATGTGATTCGTGATTCTCGCCCTGCCTGGCACCAATGGAAAACTTGGCACGGAAACTTGACATGTGATTCGTGATTCGAAGGGCACGCTTAGCCTTGTGCCAAATACACACGAAGACGACGCATGATCACTTTTTTTTGCCTCGCCTCTTCTGCCTCACAAACCAGAAGCCAATCAGCGATGCTGGCCACCTCGTCTAGTCTACTACCATTCTATCGGCCGTACATTTCCGAAAACAAAAGTTACCGCAACTCCAAACGGGCTTTCTCTTATACTTTCTTCTTAGGGGGGGTTGTTTGCGTGCCATGGGCGATGGAGAGGAAAGAACCAAGGGTGAACGGCCAGAACTGCTACTCGATATCCGACTATTGCTGCTTCTCACCTGAACCACCAAAAACAGAAGAGCGCGGCCAAGTTCAGCAGCATCGCCGAAGCCAGGGCCAAGGGTCCCAGGACTAGCCAGAACACGAACCGTCCATGCACCGAACACGCGCCTGACACGGCCTGAAAGCACGAGGGGGGGGGGGGAGGCATGCCCGCCGCCCACGCGGCACGGACAGAGAGAGAGAGAGAGAGAGAGAGAGCCCGTGAAACGAAAACCCACCGCATGTTCGCGACGAAAAGTACCCAAAGAAGCTTTCTCGGCTCACTCGCGGCCGCGTCAGCATCACTTGCCAGCATCACCACCTGCAAAGCAACAACGCCTGGCGGACGCTAGATTGCCCCCAAACTCATGGTAGAAACAATGACCCCCCCCCCCCCCCCTCGGAAGTGATATCGGTAGCATAGATAGAACTAGGGACGACATTATTGAGCCACCTTGGGCAAAATAGGAAGGAACGATTGGGCCCATCGGTGATCGGGTCCTGTGGGAACAATGCTCCGTCCTCTCGAGGACGCGTGGTCAAGGGTCTAACCGCTAAGGCATGCAAAACATAAGAGCACGCCCCCCACCCCCCCTCTCGCTTCTTGAGCTTGACAACCAGGTTACCGCTTATTTTTTGCCTTTGGTTTTTTATTGCGGTAACCATAATGGTGGTCGAGTAGATCATGTTGTGCATCTTCGAGAACCTTCGCTCCACGCAAAGGGCATGATCACACCACGTTGTGTTAAATTGGTCAAGCACCGTGGAGGCAGTTATACAGTGCCTACAACTGTCTCTGGAAGTGAAAGCACCAGAAACTAAATCAAGTCATTCGCATCTGTCATCCGTACGCAAGGAACTAAGCACATGCAGACACCCTAAGCAGGGTGCAGCACACCCTCCATGCGACTCGCCGAATACCTCACGGCGCTTCGCGCTTGGACGATTGATGTGAGAGTCTGTCCGGTGAGAACCCGGCGCGCTCCGTCCCAGCTTTGTAGGAATGCGAGGTCAATGATCCAACGACTACGGCATGCACGGCTATGAGCACACCCCCCGCCCCCGCGCACTGCCGCCACGACCGGCTTCAACAGCACAACAACACACACCAGCCCAGTATCCACCACACACAACCGCGGCAAACGACGTGCATCCTGCTGTACCTGTCGTCTCTCTGACACGTGTCGGTGGCATTGAGTTGCCGATACCACCAGCGCCAAGCCCCCCTGCGCCAAGTTAAAGGGCGGCGGCAAAACGTTGCGCCTGGAAGCCTCCGCCGCTCGCACTATCAACCTGATCGCGGCGGCGATGAACATTAGATTCAGTTTAAGGTCGGAACGATATGACAACCACGATTTGTCGTTGTGTGTGGGCGGGGGGGGGGGGGGGGGGGAATCCAAAATCCGGGCTGCCCGAATCCTTGGAACCTTTTACCCCCCATCCCTACAAAACCGGGAGGAAAACCCCGGGGTTTCCCCCGAACCAGGTCTCCCATTACCAAAGGGGAAAGGCCCAGGAAAATTTCGGGAAACCCAAGAAGGGGGGGTTTCCTCCCGGTAAAGGGGGCCCGGATTTTGGGGTTTATTTCTTTGGGAAGGAAAAAAACCGGCGAAAAATTTATTTTATTTTTGGGGGTTTTCCCTTCAAAAAAAATTTTAAACCCTTTGTAAATTCCTCCAGGAAGCTTTAACATTTTAAAACAAAGGGGGGGGAACCTCCCCCTGGGCGCGGAGGGGGGGGTCCCCCCCCCCCCCCAAAAGAACTTCTCCACCCCCATTTTGGGTACCGCCCAAAAAAAAAAAAAAAAGGAAAAAAAAAAAAACGGAACCTGGTTGCCCAAGTTCCCAAAAGAAAAGGGC